GAGTTAAAAAGAAAAATCTTTTCACAGTGTGTGGGTGGCTCCATCAGCTCAGGTTCTGATCTCAAGGTAGTGAGATCGAGCCCTGCATCAGGCTCCATGCTCAGCTGGGAGTCGGCTTGAGATTCTCTCCCTCTGCACCACATCCCTGCCGGCCCCCCCCCCCCCCCGGCCCACACACTCTTTCTCTCTCTCAAATAAATAAATAAATCTTTTAAAAATTTTAAAAATCTTTTTTAACCCTCTCTCCTTCACTTCATCACTGAGCTCTGCTGCTGCTACTTTGGACAGCACTGTGCCTTCTGCAATGCTCCTATTTGGCTCTTGTGGTTCTAGTGCTCACACTTGCTCCACCCATATGACCTCCAGACTAGTTTCTCTGCCTGGAATCTCTTTCCAGTCCTCAGTGATTCTACCCTCCTATCAAGTTCATGTTCCCAAAGCATAGCTTCTCGATGTCACTTTTGCCCAAAAACTTTTGCAACTCCTCTTTCCTTTTCTGAGCAAAGTTAAACTCTTTACTGAGACATTCCATATATTCTACAAACCAAACTTAACTTACATTTTTGTGGTTTTAAAGTATTGTTTCTCTATTTCAGGCTGATTTCCTTCAGTCACATTGGTCTGCTCTTGTCCTCTGGCTCTCCTATTTCTCTCTTTTGTCCCTCATTTCATGATGCTCTACCTCCCTTTTCTGTGTTACTCTCCAGCTTTCTGGTCCCAAGTAATACCTCTGGCTCCTCTTATGAAGACAGTCACAGTCCCAAGGAATCGTTCCTACTTTGGATTTCTTTTACGGGCAAGGAAAGAGTCTCATGTGGAAATACCTGTGAAGCTCTTCCCTAGGGGCTGAGCATTAAAAAAAAGAGGAGTGTACAAGTTCAAGGCAGACTAATAATATAATGATAAATAAAGCTTCAGTATAAATTTGTTGATTGAGAAAACATATAATCACTTTGTAAGGGAAAAGTTAGATGATGATTTACAACAATGCTTCCATTCTATGCAGGTCCACCGTTAATGCAGTTTGACTTTCTTCTACAACATTAAAAAGAGTAGCCACTAATTGTTTGGTACTATTTCAAGTTTTTCCCCCCAGCTGGTGTATATTCTGCTTGATGGAAAGATTCTGAAGGGCCTCTGAAACTTATTTTTAAAGTTCGCTCAAACTCAACACCTAGCCTTTCTCTGAAAAGCTGAAGAGTGGGTGAACAGATCAGGCCATATAAATGCCTTCATCTGTTTTAAGGAAAAGGAAATTCCAAATGTTAAGTGAAATTGTTTTCATTCCTCCACCTTCAGGTGTGCAGCGTTCACCAACCCAGTCCCCACTTTGAATCTTTTATGACACCAAAGCCCTTATGCTTCTTGAAGACAATGTGTCCTCACTTGACACCTTTCTCACTGAACTTAAACCCAACTCACTGGCTGATGTGCTCTTTGGTCTGGCTAGATGGGCTTCTATTTACTTTCCCTCTACCATGCCCTCCTTGTCTTACACTTCATTGAACACTTCTGTTTTTTGTTTTTTGTTTTTTAAGAGAAAGAAGAGCCTGCACTGAATGAGTGACTTGTCAGCTAGACATCTTGCATGATGCAGGAGATAGGATGGTGAATAAGATAGGCAAGTCTCTATCCACCTTATAGTACATTCTGGTGGGGGAAATAGACAAATGAAAATGTTAGTTAGCCTCCAAGTAAACACTCCAAACTGTGGAAAGAGCTTGACTTAAAACCGGGTACTGATATAGAGATGACTGGGGAAGGTGAGTAGCATGCAGGGGAACAGTGCTCATTTTAGACTGAGAGTCAGGGAAGGACTCCCTTACACTGGAGGCTGAGACATAAAAGGTAGGCAGAAAATGGATTCCAGGTTGGAGGCCACAGCTCCTCCAAGGTCTTGGTAGGAAGGAGCTTAACCAGTGTGATTATGGCACTATGAGGAGAGGTGAGTGGTGTATCATGATGCTGGGAAGGAAGCAGGGCCAGACCACACAGGTCTAAAAGGCTGTGAGAAAGAGGTTGGATTATAATCTTAGAACACTGGGAGTAGGGTTCCCAGATAAAATATGGAACACCCAGTTACATTTCAGATGAATAACAAATAACTTTTGAGCTTAAGTATGTTCCAAATATTGCTTGTGACATGCTTATACTAAAAATGTATTCATTATTTATTTGAAATTCAAATTCAACTTGGCATCCTATTCTCTCTCTCTCTCTCTTTTTTTTTGCTAAGTCTGACAGCCCTAGTTGAGAGGGCGCTGAAAGGTTTTCAATAGGCAAGTGAGGCGATCCAATTTGTATTTTAAGAAGATCCCTTTGGCTTTTGTTTCTTGGAGGATAGTTTGGAGGGTAGCAAGAGTTAAAAGAAGGCAGAAGTTCAAGGAGACTAGTTAGGCTACCATAACATCCCAGAGGAGGGATATTAGTGGTCTGGCCCTAGAAGACCAGTGCTTCTTAAATTTGCATATGCGTATGAATCATCTAGGGATCTTGTTAAAAGGAAGACTTAATTCAGAAGATCTGGGGTGGGATCTGAGATATTGCATTTCTAATTAGTTTGTAGGTGGGGCTGATCTTGCTGCTTCCTAGACCAAAGGTCAGCAAACTATGGCCCATCGGAAAAATCTGGCCTGCTGCCTATTTTTCTAAATAAAATTTTATTGAAACATGATCCATGTCCCTTTGTTTACATTTTATCTATGGCTGCTTCTTGGTTTCATGCTATGATAGTGGAGTTAAGCAGTTGCAACAGAGACTGTGTAGTCCACAAAATCTAAAAACATTTACCACCCAGCCTTTCCCTAAAAAGTTCATTAACCCATGCCCTAGACCACATCTTGCTACTGCAAAAGTTTAGGCTTGGGTGATTACTGCGAAGATGGTGAGAAGTGGGCAGACTTAAGACACATTTGAGAGCACTGAATAATGAAACACTCCCCTCCGATGTGAGCCCAGGTACCCTGAACTACATAAAAACGCATCTTTAAACCTAAGCTGTTGCGACAATTGAGAACCTGGCTAATCAATGTTGATGCATCTTAGAAATATTTACCCATTCTAAGCTCAAGAGGTTACTCAGCACACATTTAGATACATATATAAATCCATCTACGCACCCATAAATGCAAGTGTAAAGATACCACGGAACAGCAACTGGTAACCTGGAAGAATCATTTGTCATTCGAGCAAAAAACTGAAGTTGATTCCTGCTTGTGCTTACTGCCAGCTGATTTTCCATCTCTCCCATCTCACCTCCCATGAGCTCTACTTTCTCATGAAGGGAGAGTGTCTTTGTAGTAATTCTAGGAGGGGATACTGAAGCACAGCACTATGACCTCTCCTATCACTCGGCCCCTAGTAGGAAATACCCTTTCCCCATCCTCTTCTCTACGTCTTAAGGAAAGGGAATATCCAGTACTTACATAAGAGGGAGATCACTTTAAAATGAGATAGAGCACATGATGAGATGAGCATTGGGTGTTATACTATTGCTAGCAAATTTAATTTAAATAAAATAAAAAAATAAAATGAAATCGAAGATGATTTTAGAAAGTAGGAGAGAAACCCAATTTTGGGTGCAACCTTCTTCTTGGCATTCATTTAGGATTCTTAGAATTGCCACTTTAACAGTTCTGCTGGTAATAGCCCACAGCAAGAGGTTTGTACCACACACTGTATGGTTTTTCTCTTGTGTCATACACCTGTAAGTCCCCAAATGACTTATCTTTTAAAGGCCATTTCAGGGTTGTTAAAAGTTGTGAATTTTTGGAAATTGCTTTAGAGTATTTTAGCTTTCTAGGATGTTATTTTTATTTTTTATTTTTTTGCGGCGCTCAAACTCACAACCACGATATCAAGACCTGAGTGGAGATCAAAAGTCTGAGGCTCCACAGACAGGGCAATCCAGGAGCCCCAAGGTTGTTTTTTCATGCACTGACGTCTTCAAATGGTGGTCCAGAGATGCATTAACATAAGCAAGATAATTCCAGTTTTTGTGGAACATAATTTCTGTCTAGGTAGCAATGGCACACTTGGATGGCTATTATGCTATCTTCAGGGTAGAGGGAAGGAAGCTGGTTTGTATAGTTAGAGCCCTTGTGACTCTGTAGTTTTCCTAATGTTATTACACAGATTTTTAATACATGTGCCTGCTATTCCTTCTCCCCATCCGGACACTGCATAACAATAACAGCCACAAATATGAGAAATTAAACTTGCGGAAGAAACGGATCCATTTGACTCAGACAGCTGAAGTTGTTCAAGGATAATGAATACAAGATAAGTCTGGAGAGTTGTTGCTTGCATTCACAGCAAAATTTGAATCTCAAGTCCCATTTCCACAATGGCCATGTGCTTCATGAAACAACTCTTCCTTCCACGGGATACATTTATGTCACAATCCAAACAGATTTTCACGTAATTATTAAGCATTGGCAGGCTTGGAACTCCATGTTGAAAGTGGAGTTGTCTGCCCCATGAGCTAGTGTATTATGTTCTTTTGCATGAGAGTGAAAAAGGCATAAGGTTGAAAACTGTGCTCTCAAGAAATCCTTTTTTATTCCCTCCTTAAATTTTAGAGATTTCGACAACTCTGTTTAAATGTCTTACTGCAGTGCCTAGGTGCTGAGGCATAGATGAGAGCCAATTAAAAAAAAAGCAGACACATAAAGGAAAAAGCTTCCTTTTCAAGACGAACCTGCAAGAGGAGAAAAGGAAGAGAGCAGGAGTGCCAAGGGATTTTGTAATGAACTGTGTTGTCTGAAATGAGATTGGAAGGAAGGTTGGAGACGAAAGATCTGGTCGGGCTCAGGTCTTGGAAGCATTATAAAAGGAGTGTTTTATAAGGAAGAAATCATTAAAAGGATTCACACATCCATTTGCATGAATTAGCAAACCCGGGAGAGTGTCTGAAATGCATTGCAAGAGCTGACCTGAAATGAAGGTCATTGATTTCCCCATGACATCAGTGCAGACCGAGCAGAGTTACATTTACAAACCTTTCCAGCCAGTGTTGAAAGATCATGGCCTCCAATTATCTGCATCTCGCCCATGGACTGGTCGTTCTAAAAAAAGAAAAGATAATATTTCACTGTACCAGAAAACCTTTACAGCACATTTTCCCCCGTCTACCCAGCTTGCGGCTGGATTGCGCCTGACAAATACGGCACAAATAGCTGGTACAGATTCCTGGTTGCCCCTGGTTACCGAGAGCCACTCGCCTGCTACTGTGCTGGAGACAAAGCATTCTAATGGCTTGAGGGGAGGGGAGAGACTGAGGTGGGGGGATGTTAAAGGAGTGGAGAGAAAATGAACAAACCTAATTTAGGGACACAAAAGTGATGGGAGGTGCCTGAACCTACCCCAAGGCAGAGGGAATTGGGGAAGGCAGTCCTACTCTGGGACCTCCTTGGGTGGAGGGGGCTCCCCTGGGGGCCCCCAGAAGTGGACCACGCATTTGTGTGCTAGGCCAACAAGCCCCAGTCCTCCACCAGCAATCAGATGGTGATTCCCCAAGAGATTAGAGGCCTCCTCTACTCCTGCCAACACAGGTCCAGACCGTCCTCTGAGGTTGAGGGTGATTCTAACAGTTCACAGATCAAGCACTATGGCACTTAGGCCTTCAGGCAGGATTGAAGAAGCTTCAAGAAACTCTTGCAGTCCCAGGAATATGTCTAAGAGACTTTTTATACCCCTTTTCATTAGAGATCATGAGTATTCACTTTTTTTTTTGCATATGCACTTTTGTGATGTTTTTATATCATACATCATCCTGTCCTAATTAAATCACACACAAACACACACATACACCCCAAAATGGATTGTCACATAGCACATATCACAACAAAATAACATGGAGACAGAACAGGAGACAGAAAGCAGGCAACTTGTTTTCTGGCCTCACTGCAGAGACAGGGCAAAGGGACGGACACACAAACCCTACAGACAGTGGCTTGGAGACCAGGCAAGAATGCGGTCATGTTGCAGTCCCTTCTAGCAATAACCTTAGGGAGAAGATGATGGTGCAGGCACTCTGTGAAGGATGTGCTGAACCAGAAAACACCTTAGGTCACTGCTGTGGCTTTCTTAGCTTAGGATTTTCCTCTCTTATTCCAGCAACAAGGCTCTGACTCCTTCCTGGAGGTGGGGTGGAGCTGCGTGGGGTGGGGGGATGTCCGATGTCATTCATTCCCTAAGGATCAGGTGGGGCCAGGCCTTGCTAGGTAACCAGCTCCGCCTGAAGCCGAATCCAGCCTTGGACTTTCTAGCTACTGAAGCCAGGGTCTCCCCTTAGGAATGTTCCTGGGTTGGTTTGAATTGGATTCTGTCACTTGCAACGGAGTCTCTATCGAGGCATAGTTACTCGGTCATAGAATTGGTCATCTGGGAAGGGAAAAAGCAGCCAAATAACCAATAGAACCGTTGTTCCAATGAAGCAGCTGTTTGTCTTTTTACCTGACTGCTTGAGAGAGGAGAAAAATGACCTTAAAATGATTTCACTTCCTCTTGGTAAAGCATTCACTCTTTATGGCAACAGAGTGGAAGGGATGCCCAACAATTAGATAAGTCCAAAAAAATTCTTAATGGGAACTGATCTCAAAAGGAGAAAGTCAAAGAACATCCAGAATTCACAGATCTCTTGCTGTTTTTGAATGAACATTTATTTATTTATTTTAAAGATTTTATTTATTTGAGAGAGAAAGCATGAGAGAGAGAGAGAGAGAGAGAGAGAGAGAGAGAGAGAGAGAGAGAATCACAAGCAAGGAGAGGGGTAGAAGGAGAAGCAGACTCCCTGCTGAGCAGGGACACCCCCCCCCCCCATGCAGGGCTTGATCTCAGGACCTTGGGATCATGACCTGAGCCGGAGGCAGACACTTAACCAACTGAGCCACCCAGGTTTCCCTTGAATAGGCATTTATAATCATACATTCACAAAGAGTCATGCTTTAGGTTAGGAACTTGTCAAAGGAGAAGATTTTCTTGTCACTTTTAGAGGTGCTGAGATATAGGAGTTAACATAGGGGGACTGTCTGCATATTAGACTGAAATGTGTTGTTAATAGCAGCAGGAAAAATAAAATTTCAATACCTCCAGAGGACGGAGGTATGCAGAATTGGATGCAACTACTAGACCACAAAGTTTAATGTAACAAACGAGATGTACCCTCTGCCAAATCAGAGTAAACTTCATAATAATTCTACTATGATCATCTTCATTCTATTGATTGAAAACAAGAACCACACTATATCAGAAACCTAAATAATATGTTATAAGTCAAGCATTCAGCATGTTGCCACGCAAGTGTTATATTAGAAGGTCTTACTTAGAGTCCAGGTTTATAACATGTTTTTATTATTAGATCTGTCCTTAACTCATCTGGAACTTAGGTCTTCCAAGTGTGTATATAGTCAATTGTCCCAATACTACTTATTGAATTGTTTGGGGTATTTTCCCCCTTCTGGTTGGAAATGTCATTTTTATCCTATCTTTCTTTCTTTCTCACATGTGAGGGCCAATTTCTATATTCTTCTGTTTCATTAGCCTAAAATGCCCATTTTCACATTCATACATACTGTTAAATTATTATCACTTTTTAGTATCTGGTAGAGAGAGTCCTGTTTTTGTGTTCTTTTTAAGAAATGGTCTTAGCTATTTCTGTATATCTATTTGCCAATTTACTGGGCTGTTATGAAGGTCAAATGAATTAATATATACTAATTATTTAGAACAGAGCCTGGCACACCATAAATATTTCCCTCCCTCCTTTTCTTCTTCCTTCTTCTCTGCTTTCTTCTTTTTCTCCTTCCCTCCTTCCTTCCTAGGAAATGGTCACTCCTCAGACCTCTCTGGTACTCTGGAGTCTGGAGCTCCCTCTGGTTTGATCACGCCAGCAAAGAAACCTTTCATGTCTTGCTGGAAGGGAGAGCAGAACTTCCAGGACGATCTTCTCCATTCATCCATTACCCATCACCTTGCTGCTTTTAGCCCATTCCTCCTTCTCTCCACCTTTTAAGAACCTAGAGACTAACTTGTGAGCCTTTCAGGAATTCTGAGGCATGAGTCCTGTATTTCTCATTGACAATTCCCTCCATAGGCATTTAGGTGTTCATTTTGCCTATTCGGCTGAGTCAGTGCCCTTCCTTAATCCGTTTTGCCTCCTAAAAAGCACTGACATCTCTTATCTGCTGAGGTCTTCTTCCCTCCTCTTTGTCCTTGCACATGTGTATACCTCATTTATCTCTTTACTGGTATTTTGGTGGGATTTCAGGAGGGAATAGAGCTAATTGTATGCATTCAATCCATTGTGTGTAGCCATGATATTTTTCTGATGGTTCAAGAGCATCCTTTAATTCCTAGGATTGATGTATATATATTTTAAAGATTTTATTTATTTTTCATGAGAGACACAGAGAGAGGGGCTGAGACACAGGCAGAAGCAGAAGCAGCAGGGAGCCTGATGTGGAACTTGATCCCAGGACTCCGGGATCATGACCTAAACCAAAGGAAGACGCTCAATCACTGAGCCACCCAGGCACCTGGATTGATGTATTTTTTAAAACATCATTGGTTTTGATTTGATAATATTTTATTTGGGATTATTTGTCTTATCTTCATATTCATCTCATCTTCATTCATCTTATCTTCCCAAGTCTTATCTTCATAAGACTGCTTCATCTTACTTATTTCATTAGTAAGATTGGCTTATAATTTTAAAACAAAGTTATACTAGCCTCATACAATTCATTGAGTGGTTATCTTTTTTCTATGCTCTAGAAGACTTTGCATAGGAATGGACTGATCTCTTTTGCTAAGGTTCAGTAGAGCTCAGTGTAGGTATTATAGAACTCAGTATAGGTATTACTTAATCCACAACTTACAAAAGAGGAATCTGAGCAATGAGCATTTACAGACCTTGCCCAAAGAAGAGCTGCTAATAAGTCAAGGGATCCAGTTCAATCCTGGAATTGCCTGGTTCCATAGTATTCTGGTGTAACCTACCCCAGCCCAGCACCTGCAATATTCCTAGAAGAAAGAAGCCCATAGTATGTCTTTGAGAGGAACCTGGAGAAGGAGTGGATCCTGCTTATACTAATGATGTGAAATATGTGAGCTTAAAAGGCCAAGAGAAGCCAACATCTTGGTAGGAATGCTGGCAGCAGTTATGTAGATTTAAAGCACCAAGGGAATCTCTGACATTTGGTTCAGGCTTCCTTGAAGGAAATATTTTGGAAATTACCAGTTTAGGTGACCTGGTCTCCAGGTACAAAAAGGGCATGCCAAGTAGCCCTGCAAGTGTGGTGATTCCTCCCATGGAGACTTTGGACTGCATAGATAATGTTTAGAAAAAAAAAAAAAAACATTACTGAGCAAGAATAAATATCCTGAATTCCTGTCCTTTTGAGGAACAGGAAGGGGAAAAGTAAGGAAAATAAATAAACAAAAAACCACTCTCTAAGCCATTCATTTTCTTTCTTTTTTTTTAAAGATTTATTTATTTATTTATTTATTTATTTATTTATTTATTTATTTATTTATTTATTCATTCACGAAAGACACACACACACAGAGAAAGAGAGAGAGAGAGAGAGAGGCAGAGACACAGGCAGAGGGAGAAGCAGGCTCCACGCAGGGAGCCCGACGCAAGACCCCATCCCGGGTCTCCAGGATCACGCCCTGGGCCGAAGTCAGATGCCAAACCCAGAGATTCCCCTAAGCCATTCATTTTCAAAGTCAGAGACACTTGCTTCAGAATCTGTACACAGGAGAGCTTTTTCAATATTCTCAGTTACCACAGATCCCTCAACTTTGCTTTCCCCCCATTAGTCTTATTTTTCCTCTCAGCTATTCTGTGCTCAGTAAGGTCATTGATCCTATCTATATTAAATGGATAGAGATACAAAACAAAAACCAGAGATACTTCATTATAAGGAGTTTTAATGACCAAACTGCCTGAGTTTCTAATTAAAAGGGTGTAAACGACTATTCTTTTTTTTTTTTTAACTCTAACATTTGATGCCAAGTCACAGAACGAGGACAGGTGAATCGGTTCCAGCATTCCCAGTTT